TATGTCTTCTCCTTTGATATGAACATATATCTTCCAAATACACACACGTTGCACAGTATATGTTCAATTAATATCACTGAATGAATAAATGAAGCAAGCTGCCAGTCAACAAGCATGAATCCAAAAGTTATTCTAGAACATCATGGTCTCTAAAGATTTGAGTAAAAATGAAAACATTTTAATAAATTAGATATAAACTTTACTGAAGACAAGGTAAGTTTAATACATCATTTCCAAATTTAAAATAAATTAATTAAAATATATTTATTTAACATCTACAGTTTGGAAATCCCTCTAGTCAAGATGAGGAGTGTAAAGTTGATTAAATCATGGTCTCATCTTTGAGAAACTCACTGTTAATCAGAAATGTGTACTATAGACTCAAGAAAGTTAAGTGCCAGTAAATGGTACACACAGATTTAAAAGATTAGAGAAATAAGTATGGAGTGAAAAAAGAGATATTTGAGTTCGAACTTAAAATTTAGGTACAGTATGATACAATAAGAAGAGGAAAGGGGGTATTCTATGTGGAGGAAAAACAAAAGATGGAAGTGAGGAGAATATAAAGCAAGTATAAACATGATTACAGACATATAAATGACCACAATATCTGTGAGAGAAACAAGCAGCCTGCTCTGTGGCAGAATTCGGGTGCTGGGGAACTGCGTTTAGACACAATTTAAAAGAAGTGTATTATAGAGGACCTTGACTGCAGGCTAAATTTGAACTTTTTTTCTGGGCCTCATTTCCAAAAGTATGTTAATGGTTGTTGAATGAGGGAAGGGGGTCATTTGCTTATGTAAATTCAGAAAATATGAAGTGAATCTCAACTAAAAAAGATTTCTTACTGTAAGATTTCTCATGAGCCTTTAGTTCATGGATATCAAGAAGGAGTCATAGTATGAATTTCCCAAACATTTTACCACAGAACCTCCTTCTGTGACTCATCTATCTGGACTGATATTTCTCTTCCAGACACTTGTTGGGAACCAGTGGCTTTTTGACAGTAAAGAGTCACAGAAAGCATTAAAACAGAGAAATGACATGGTGAAAGTACTGATTTGGGGAAAATAATATGGTGGTGGTAGGTAGGAGAGACTGATATCCCCTGCAATGAGGGAGTTGGGAAGACAGGTTGTAGTGATACATGAGTAGTGGAGATGAACTGTTCTATTTTAAGATACAAAGTGGTAGAGTACATGAACTAAAGAGTAATAACGGCTGCAAATAAAGATTTAAGTGTAATTTGTATACAGGTGAGAGCACAACCTGTCAGAAACAGACTACAAAGAAAGAACAGAGGATTTATGCTATTAACTGAAACATCTCTATTTTTTTTAATGTATGAGGAGAAAGATGATCAAACTGAGAAGAAATCAGAACAGTTCAGTCAAAAGAATTGGGATTTGGAATAAGGATCTTACTCTGAAAAACTGTTTTCGTTAATTGGATATTTTTGCAAATTGTTTTATTATAATTGTGAGAATAGAAGTGAACATTTGTGGATGTGTGATGATTGAGAAGTAAAAAAATAAATATTGTAAGACAGAACCTTCATGCAGAGGAGATGGAGATATTGACCCTACCAGAGGGAGATGGGGTTATTGGGGACCTGGAAGCATGGATCAGATGAGATCCTGGATATATATGGATAAGTTGATCATAGGAGACAGCAATTATGTTTCTTGTTCAGAGACTTGGAAAACAGTGAGAGGGATCTTAAAGAGTCAGAGAACTGAAAAGTGGAGGAAAGGTAAAATCTGATAGCTTGTTTCCAAGGGTATGATCTTCTTAGTAAGGTGATGTCTTATGGAACTGTTGACAACTTGTTCTGAAGAATATGCTAGAAAATCAAAAGAGACCAAAGAAAAAGATTGCTAAGAAGTAAGTGTGGCCCACTTGGGGGTTAGAGAGTGTATTCATTTTCTCTTGCTGCATAACAAATAACCACACCATTAGCAGTTTAAAACAACATCCATTTATTAACTCAGAGTTCCATGGTCAGAAGTCCGAGTGGGCTCAGTGCTCAGGGTTCTGGGCTCAGGGTCTCACAAGGCTGCAGTCAAGTTGTCAACCAAGCTTGACTCAGTTTGGAGGCCTGGGGGTAGACTCCTCTCCCAGGCTTATCTAGATTGTTGGTAGAATTCAGTTGTAGGACTGAGGGCCGGATTCCTTGCAGTCTGTAAAGTAGATCACCGTTAGCTAGTCCTTGTCCCAGGACATTCAGCAGACTGTCTCTTTGGATTTCTCAGGCCATCCAAGCTTACACTTTCAAGGGCAGCAGCATGATCTCTCACTTCCAATCCTCTCCTGACCTCAGGCTTCCAATCTCTCTGACTTCTGCTGATAGCCGAAGAAAACTTGCTGCTTTTAAAGAACTCATGTGATTACATTAGGTCCACTCAGATAATCTCCCTTTTGATCAACTCAAAGTCAACTGATTAATAACCTTTATCAAATTTGCAAAATTCCTTTTGCCATGTAATGCAGTGGGTGTGACAGTCACAGCATATTCACTGTCCCAGGGATGAGACTGAAAAGAATTGGGGCCCATTTTAAAATTCTGCCCACCACAGAGAGTCAAAATTAAATTAAATTTTGTATAGTTTTCTTTCTTAAAAATGTGAGTTCATGAGCCTTAGATGTTTCTTAGAGTGTCACAGGAGTGATGGAGAAGAGAAATGTAGTACACATAGTAATTTTTTAAAAAGATGTTCTGTATTACTTTTACCATTCCTTATAAATAAATGAATCATTCTCTGACAATTAAAGTATTCAATCACTTTCAAACAAAACCAATTTCCTAAAACAGTAAGTTTTGTTTCACACGTACTATCTTTCTGTTTTCATTTTTGAGTTCAAATTCAGTGGGTTGGATCTTCGTGACGTTTACGTTGGTGGTGTTCAGAAGATTCCATCCTGTTTTGACCAAGGGCCCAGTTAAATACTGGAAGAATACTTAGGGAAGGAAAGAGGGACTAAAGTTGAAATGGGAAAATGTTGGGAAAGAATGTCAGGGGTGAAAAGGAGTAACACATTGCCAGGGAGCTGGGCTTTTGTTGTACTTGTCAGATAATACTTTGAAAAATTTTACTGGAAGTCACGTCATTGAATTCTTTATCAAATAGTTTTTTTCAATTAATGTATTCTGGCTGTCTAAGCAATATTGTAATAGAATATATAATAAAGTAAATAAAATAATCAAAATATATTCATTTTTAATGTGCCAAAACTAGGCAGAGTACTTTACATATATTTTTTTCTCACAACAAGAACAATGGCCCAGGTATATTATTGTCCTATTTTAAATATGAGGGAACTGAGTTATTCAGGAACTTGCCCAATGTCCAATGTCTCAGGCTTAGTATACATCAGAATCAGGATTTAAATCTAAGTATGTTGGACCTCAGAGTCCAAGCCCTTTATGATTATGATAAATAAAAAATGATAAATTTTTATAAAAATTTTTAATAAAATAATATCATTAATCCTTCCTTTCCTCTTCAGATTTTGAATTCTTACGTGTTTGGTTACATATCTCTATTTCTCCATTGCCATGCTCCCTGCAGGAAGTAGCATACGCATCAGTGCATTAAACATAGTAAAGAAGTTTTGTTTAACTTAACATTTCCTAAATTCACTTGACCATGAATGAAGCCTTCTTTTAAATTTAACACCTATTAAAGCATTTTGGGAAATGTTGATAAATAGAAATAAATCCTGATCAGAATTTGAAATTCTTGACAATTGTTTTAACATTTCACTTTTTTAGGGAAAATAAATTTTAAAAATCCGTAATATTTCAGAATTCATTACCTAATTTTATTTTTAATTTTGAAAACTTCTGAATTGTCAAAGTTCAGTTGCTTAATCTAAGTGTCCTTTAAATGCTTAACACATTTGTCTTAGACATACTGAGCGTATTTGCCTCGATGTTTTTCTATATGAAATGGTGTCCTTGGGTTGTGTGTTTAATTATTGTTTGCTAATCAATACTATTATCTGGGAAATCTCTTGGAGGAAATAAGCCTAATACTTTCATAAAGCACCCATTTCATAAATGACCATTCACTGTTGAGCAGCGGTACATTTTATTCATAATATAGCCGTACCCTCTGGTGCTCATGCTTGGTCATGTGTTCTCCAAAACTGCCTTAGAGGGGTAAATGTCACATGTTGGATCATTTTACTCAGTCTTAGCTTTAAGTGAAATATTCTGTTATTCATAAGATCACTTTTTTGAAAAGGAGTTCAGGCATTTCCAATACTATTCAAAAATATTACTAGCACTCCCGTGCTGTAGGGTAAAATGGTTATTCCATCTATTTTGCTCTTGAAAGTAAATGAATACTTGAGAACCAAGAACTGAAAAGTTGCTTAAATTTCTTAAGTGATTTGTAGAAATGGAAGTAGGACCTAAGTCTTTTGTTCCAAGGTTCAGTTCTGTGCCATATGCATTAGACCATGTATTTGATCCAAGAAAGTTTAAATAAAGCTATAAATGCATGTGTCTAAAATTCTACATTCTTCTGACTGAATCTCTTCTGGAAGAATAGTACTCTAATTTTTGAGAATTTTTGGACTGTTGGTTTACGAAACAGCACAACATTATCAGCCAATATAATGCAAAGGGAATTGTGTTGTATTGGAGTTTGATTTACCATGCTTAAACATTGTTTATTCAGAAACAAAGAACTCTCTAGCCAAACTATCCATGAGTGAGAAGGTCTATTTTTATTTGCTTTCCAAATCCTTATCCAAAGCTTTCTCATAGAGCTAGTATGCAGATTGTAGCATTTTATAGCTGTAAGACCTTGCCCATTATTTATTATTATTTCAGTAGTTTTTATTTTTCTTCCGGGCTTGACTTGGTAAGGTGTCTGCAGCAAAATAGTGGATACACATAAGAAAATAATTCTAATTTCTATATATGTTTTTGAAGAGCATTTTCAGATGATTTGAATTTGCTATTAATAAACGTTTTTCGTATCCATATTCAGTTGTTGCAGGGTAGGTCACCCAAACCCGACAAGTGGGAACTTCAGATGGGCAGTGGTGGCGGCATGCTGGAACAGGTCAGCGGAGACTGTGATGATGAAGATGGTTGTGGGGGATCAGGAAGTGGAGAAGTCAAGAGGACGCTAAAAATCACAGACTGTAAGTGTATGATTCTAACACCACTGCTAAAGAATTGCTTTTGAAATATAATTAAAGATAATTATTATTGTGAATGTAAAGAAATAATGATGGGGAATTCAGAAGTATGCGATATTTGGAAATAAAAATGAACCTATTTTTAGTTATCCAGGACATGCATTCTTGGAGGTTTTCTTTATTTTTAGCTAATGGCTTTAAGTGGAAATGACGTTTTTCTGTGAAAAACTAGTGAACAATCATCAGTTCTGAGAATTAAAGATTTTAAAGCAGGATAATCTTTAGGGCATGAAATAACCTGAATGATGAATGTTAAATGTATATTGATAAATAATGTGAAACTAGAATGGGTAAAGCCTACTACATAATCGAATTCTGCAATTTTATGATATTATCATGCCATTACATAAAAGATATGTTATTTTATTAGGTTTTTATCATAGTCAAATTGCAAATAAATTGGTTAAAAATATGGTTAGTTATGGTGGAAAATTACTTGGATTTAACTCTTATGAATGTATTTTTCCAAAAAATTCTCAAAAATCATTCACCTTGTTATGATTATACGGGTTTGAAAACCATTTCTGACATTGCTGGACTGGTCACTATTACAAAAGATGGAACTGTCAAATAACAACAACAAAAAAGCGCCAAAAGAATTTCCTTTCCTTGTCTTCACATACAAAATGAGGAATATAGCTTTTCCGTTGTCATGCATGTGTTCACGTGGGCAAGACAACCAAAGTTATCAACTGAGAAAGAAGTATGAAAGTTAATGCACCCAGATCAGACAACTTGCAACTATTTGCTTACCTCAGGTCATACCAAAGCTGATTACTTTATAAAGTGATTTTCTGGCCCTGTGCAGCCCTATCTGGAGGCTGGTCTGATAGTCTCCCTCTAAGTCACAGAGGGCTGCTTTGGACCTGTTAGACATGCCATTTTGTGATTTGGGTGGGAGAAGAATTCATTTACTTTCAGTTCTCTTTTGGTAAATTTAGAACACCACAAATGCTTCAAGCAACAATACGCCATTCTTTCTGGGATTATGTTTTATACAGCAAATATATTGGTTAAAGGAATGGAAGCCAAACGAGGTACAAAATCAAAAAAACAACTGATATGAAGGACTATGTTTTCCTGTCACCAGTAGTAATAAATTTAACATAGAAAGTAAATAGATGGGATTTAGTACACTGGAGCAGCAATTGAACAAAGGGCCACAAAAATCCTTGATGTATTAACACAATTTCCTAGTGAAAATTAGTATCTTCCACTCTTAAAGGAGCAGATAAGGATATGTGTTCTTGTCATTGGTGTTAACATAGTTTATCAGATTGCTTTATCTTGTTTTTCTATCTTTTGTTGTGTAGGCTAAAAAATAAAAATAAATAAGGAAGAAGAAGACAATAAAAAAGAAGGGTTTATTTTTACTAAGAATTAAAATGCTCTCCATTGTATTTTGGAATTGTGATACTCATCTACTAGGATAATATTAAATAATCTTTCATTTTCATTCTATCTTGAGTTTTTATATGTACCATAATTTCATTGCCATTTGAATATTAGCAGGGTTAGAAGGCATAAAATTATTATAAAAAATAGCTTAGGTGGAAATTTCATCTATAAATTGTGTGTGTATAAAATTAGCATTTTTATAGAGATTTTTTACACCTGAAGTTATTTATAAGCTCTAGAATTTATGTGTTAATAAATAACTCTTTTTTGCTTTATTTCACAAGAGAAGTAGAGACAGTGGAGGATATTCAACTACTAATAGTTTTCTCGCAAAACCATACTGTCAAAGTGGCAAGAATGAATTTTTTTCTTCAAAACCCTGTTTTCAATTACTACTAAAATGGACAGGTATGGTACAAGGAACTATCCATCAGAATTGGGGAGATTTAAGATATAGATGACTTTCAGCAACTCCAGGAAAACATTAAAAAAAATCCACATCTGCTGGGAGTGGGTTGCCTATCATGCTTCTAAGAGTTTATAGCTGTTGCCTTTCAATTTTTAATAAGTGGTTAGGAAACCACTGTGGATAGCATGCTGAAATAAAGAGGGACAGAAAGTAGCAAAGCATAAGTCACATTTCTATTTTTATAAAGCACTATGATACTTTGCCTGTGTTTGGCTAGTTTGATGTATTGCCAAGGCCAGTTAAGACAGTTTTAGATGGTCTTCAAAATATTGTGCTCGACAAAGTTTACCAGGACACCTTTTGTGTTAAGAACTTGAAATGCACCGTTATTTCTTCCTTAAACTGATGTTTATTCTTTATAACATACAACATAAGTAGAACACAGTTCATTTTTCACCTCAAAAATGTTTGATTACAAATAGCTATACATATATATATTTATTTATAGCTATATTTAATTGCAATGAATAATACTAATATCATGCCCTGTACATTTAATGATTTTGCTCCATTTATGCAAATGTCCAAAGTTGATAAATATTTTACTAATCCTCACTTGAACTGATTTTCTGCTTCTGTTTTTGTTCATGTCTATTTCAGGCAACAGAGGGTCTATATATTTCAATGTGCAAAGTTTTACCACCAAAATATTTATATACCTTTTAGGTATCATTTTTTTTTCATCAGCAATGGTATCAAATAACCTAACAAATTTTTAGTTTTTAAAACTCCCTCTATTTGTATTCTACCTGTTGGCTATTATTAAATGTTAACTGATATGTTCCTTATTAAAAGCAGCCATCTATACTATGTAGTGTTCACTCTTAGGAAACTGAAAATATTTCCCTATTTCAGTAGAATGTTTAAAAATCCCAATATTACAGAAACGTATTCTATATTTTTATTGTATTGAATTTGGCTCATTTAGATAGATACGGGTATTTCACTAGTAGTCTGGAATTGCAGAGTTGGAATGGCTTTGAACCTTCATTTCTCCTCACCGCTGACGCTTGCTGGCCTTTCTAAGTAGCTAACTGATACAGGTTCTAAACACCAGTGAAAAAAGAAATTCTGTTCTTTTAGCAATGCAGAGCAAAACTATTCTCACTACCATCAACACTTTTTCAACTATTCAACTAGTCTTCTAATTTTCCAAAATTCTGATAGTTTCAAATGTTGGAAAACAAACCAGAGTGTCACTGAAAACAGGCTGTAGAAAAGTTATTCCACATGTAGTTTTGAAAATCTGAAAATCTGCAGTAGCATTGCTTGCAATTCTTCTGTGATATTATAATTTAAGTGGCAATAACTCTGCTTTTAAAAAACAAAAAGTGTATAACCCGTGATCAAATTCACTTTGATAAGGTGGTTCACCATAATAATATCAGGAAAAATGAATGTCATCACAAGTTGATTCAGACATATGTTCAAAAATAGAAGGGTGATTTTAAGTCTCCAAATTGAGATAATCTGTCTATTGTCATATTCATCATTGCTCGTATAATATTATGTAACATCTTAAGCAGTTTTAAAGATAATTTTACTTTGAGAAATCTGTAAATAACAATAAAGATTGTGTGTGTTCAAATAACTTTTTTCCCAATAGTTTTTTCAACATGGCTCTGCAGAACAGTCATGATATGGGTTCATAAAGACTTCTATGTTCAGAGTACCAATGCAGCATTCTGATCCTGAGGCCCTCTTGAATTGCCTCTTATTCAGCCACCCAAAGTCTTTCTTTAGATTGTCTACCATTAGGTTCTTCTTATCTCATGGGCTGCTCTTCCTCTACTCTTTCATGGGTTCTCATCATCCCCAATTTTAAATATTTGAAGAATCCAGGTTTCAGTTCTCAAACCTTTTATTAAATCTATTCACAACAATTCTCCATTCCACCACCTGTTGCATACTGCATCATAATAACAATATGATACCCTGCCATCAATAGCACTATCCAGTTTATATAACATTTCCCTATGTGTTATCTCAGGAGGTAAGCTAATGAAAACAGAATGTCTTCAACTTAAATTAGATTAATTTGATAATAGAAGGATAACACAATGGAATGTAAATTACTAGATCTAGAAAGAAGTTATGGTTGATCTTCTATAGCCTAAAATAAATAGAACTATTGTTTATATTGTGCTTTGGATTTGTCACTTAGTAACTAACCTCAGATCTGCCTCTAACAAATTCATCTACAGCATGATACTAACAGTGACCTTGGAAAAGAATAGCATATTCCATATGCATAGTAAAATGAAAATGATACTGTTAGCCACTGAAGAATAAAGGTTGCTGATTTATTTAGTAATGCAGGATTGTAGAGTGAGTGAAAATTCTTGGCTTCCTCAAACTTATTTTCACCGTAAATCACCTTTACTTCAAAATCTCAGCTAGGCATGGAGGTTAGGGAGAACTCACAAAAATACTACAAGTGGCATTTTCTTTAGAAAATGTGATTTTTATTTTTCTTTCCAGAACTACTAAAACTATGTAGTTATTTATTTTGTAGAAATTATTTTGTATTATTTTATATTATCTAGTTGATAATTTTTTCTTTCTAATATAAATTATGTCAAACAGATAATGCGAGCATATGATTCATTTACATTAATAACAGTGCCAAATATGCATATTAAAAGTATATGTATTCTTTCTAAAATTAAAGTTTCATCAAATTTGATTAAAATAAAATATATTCAGTTTACTTTGCAAAGTGCTGACAAATAGCCTGTTAATAAATTATCCCAAATTAAAGAAAATGTACTAAAAATAACTGAATAGCTTATCATATATTTACTTTATTCATTTATGCTAAAAATAAATAATCTTTATAAAGTTATTTAGACTCAAACCTTTGGGACGCAGTGAAAGTAATCTTGAGTAATGATTGTACACTTTGATCTACGTTTTACAATTGCCTAATACAGAAGGATCATAATAAAACCACATAAAAATTCACAGAGAAACACTTCTTGATCTCGTTCAATGTTCCAAACTGTAAACACTTTGAAATTGTCATCTACTGCAGTTTTTACACTACCGATGAAAATTATACTAAAGAGAAATAAAATAAATCTAAGATAAATATATTTTAATTAATATGTGATCACTATG